AAAGGCTCTTAGTTGGTTGGAACGACAGCCTGCTGCAAGCATTCCAACCTGGGATGATTTATCACAGAAGTTCTTTGCTCAGTTCTTCTCGATGGAGAAGTACAACCAGATGGTGAATGGTATCACCAATTTCACTCAATCTGAGGGTGAATCAATGTGTGAAGCATGGAACCAGTTGAAGGATTTGATGAGAAGGTGTCCTCAGTATAACCTGACTGCTGGTAATCAGGTTAGAATCTTCTTCAATGGTTGCAAACCTGAGGTTCGGATGGTGTTGAATGGTGCAGCAGGAGGCACTATTAAAACTCTGAGAGCAAACGAGACTCTTGAGCTGATTGAGAGGATGGCTGCCAACGAAAACCAAGGGTTGTCAGCAAAGCCTAAGAGAGGTATCCTTCAACTGGAAGGTAATAATGTTGTGCTAGCTGAAAACAGTTTGTTATCTCAGCAAGTAGCAAACTTGACATCAAGGCTTGACAAGATGCAGCTTGCTGGTGTTCAGACCAAAGCTGCCGCTGTTGTGTGTGAATATTGCCAGGACAATCATGAGTCTAATAAATGTCCTGAGATGCCTTCTAATTCACCTAAGCAAATGCAAGTGGATGACATTTGGTATGATCAAAGACCTCAATAGCAAAATGTTCAAAGAGGTCAGAATTTTACTCCCGGAGGTAATAATTATCAATGGAAGATTCAAGGCACAGGTCTTGATTACAATTCCAACAACTACTTGCAGCCTCCACCAGTCCAAGCTAAGGAATTTTCTGATTTGGAGAGGTTAGTTGGACAAATGGCTCAACACTCCAATGCCTTCATGGAAGAAACTAGGGCCAATACTAAAAACATGAGTGCTTCTATCAAGAATTTGGAGAATCAAATTGGCCAGCTGGCTAAGCAAGTTGCTGATAGAACTCCAGGCACTTTCCCTAGTAACACAGTTACAAATCCCAAGGAGGATTGTATGTTTGTCACAACTAGAAGTGGTAAGGTGGTAGCAGCTCTAGAAAAGCTGAGCACAAAGGTGAAAGCTAATGAGAAGCTTAAGGCGGTTGAGGAGCCAAAAAAAGAGGAGGTGATTCCTTCTGATGTTAAGACACCTCTTCAGAAAGGTGAAGAAAAAGAGCCACCTATTGTTGCTGAAAAGAAAAAATTTGAGCTGAGTCCCGAATATGTGAGAGCCATGGCACCTATCCTGAAAGATTCAAGAAGGATGATCAGAAGCAACAGTATGGAAGGTTTCTTGATATATTCAAGAGGTTGCATGTCAACATTCCATTTGCTGAAGCTTTGGCTAGCATGCCAAATTATGCCAAGTTCATGAAGGATTTGTTGTCAAGGAAGCACAATTTGCAAGAATGCCAAACGATGACACTCACTGAGGAGTGTAGTGCTATTGTTACAAAGAAGTTCCCGCCTAAGCGTCATGATCCAGAGAGCTTCAATATTTCTGTTGAAATTGGTAACACCAAAATTGGCAGGGCATTATGTGATCTAGGGGCTAGCATTAATTTGATGCCCCTTTCTGTTTGTAATTCCTTGGGATCACCGAGTTGAAGCCTACTTTGGCATCTCTTCAACTTGCTGATAAGTCTGTAAGGAAGCCTAGTGGAATAATAGAAGATGTTCTTGTGAAGGTGGACAAGTTCATCTTCCCTGCTGATTTTGTGGTGTTGGACATGGAAGGGGGAGCTAAGATGCCTCTTTTGCTGGGTAGACCTTTCTTAGCTACATCTCATGCACTGATTGATGTTGAAAGCGGGAAGCTCGAGCTAAGAATGAATGATGAAACTGTTACTATTCATGTCTTTGATTCTTTAAAACAGTCTTCTCACAAAGACGATTGTTTTAGTCTTGAAGTCTTAAAGGAAGAAAAAGATGTAGCGGTTGAGGTTCCTGAAAAAGTAGATGATTATAAAGAAGATAGAACCTCAAAAGTGGAATTGAAGGATCTTCCTCAAACTCTAAAAGATGATGTCAAAGAGGTGAGGAAGCCTCAAAGGAGGCGTAATCCTACAAAGAAGAAGGCAATGAGAAAGGAAGTGGTGAAACTCTTTGATACGAGTTGGAAGAGACACCGAGAGCTGAAGTTTGACAAAAGACACCGAGACTCTGTCTCTCGAAAAAATCAATGCTTCAAAGAGTTCCTCACATGGATTCATGGTCTGAATCAAATCTGGGAATGGTGGTCTCATACACCAAGGCATCTAGTACCACCGGATCCTCCAATTGCTGAGTCATCCCACGCTGCTGAAGGGGATGACATGGAGGGTTGATTATATCTCCTTGCTGACGGAGATTTTGTATATTAGTTTATTTTTCTGTTTCACATTTTTAGTTACTTTGTGTTGGTATATTTCTCTCTGATGTTTTAATGTGCGCATTATAGTTCATCCTATATGCCACTATTTGTTCCATTGTGCAGGTTTTTCTTCCTTCTTGTGGTTTAATTATTGCTGAGGACAGCAATTCTCTAAATCTGGGAATGGTAGGCTTGCACCTTAGAATTGCAATTCTTCTATCAGGGGAGATATTCTAACTCTTTTAATTTTCTTAGTTATTTTTGTAGTATTTTGTGTGCTCTTTATTTTTATTTAAAAAAAAATAAAAAAAATTTGAATTCCTGAACAAGCAATCTCATATTTGACAAAGCTGGCTTAGTACTATTGTGGATTGAATCATAAGAAGCATGATATCTGTGAAGCATTCATTCGTTTTATATAATCTGAGCATGATGATTGCTCGTTTGTATAACTGTTCTTTGGTGAATTATTCTTAGATAATGCTTGATGTGAAATTTGGAATTTAGATTCTAGCTAGACTTATAGCTGTGAGGATTGAGCCTAAACAGAAATATCTTTTTTCAGAGCGGCCTCACTGTAGTAGTTTTCTAGAACTTGAACTGTTTCTCTGGCTTGCATGCATGACTGATATGATAAAGGCACATTTATTCTTGTTAGCTTAGAGCCAAATAGCCTACCTTGAAAGAATTTCCATTGTTAAACCCCTTTGAGCTTGAGACCAATTTGTTCAAAAACCGTATGAAAGTTGCTTAACCATGTTCCATTGACACACCTTGAGAGAGATTTAAATGCTGATTCCAAGAGTTAGAATCAAGGTACTTCTCAGAAGAAAAAGTTAAGTAAATGAAAAAAAAAGAATGGTCTGAAAAATTTAAATGTAGCTCAGAAGAGAAGAGAAAACAAAAGAAATAAAAGGTAGTGAAAAAGGGAAAAGAATCCCAAAATATCAAAATGGCGGAATTGAAGAGCTGAGAAGGAATCAATGTCAAAAAAATCTTAGGATTTCAGTCTCTCCAAATTAATCAGCTTCTAACCAAAAGATTCTTACCCCCAAACCAGACCAAGTTATAACCTATCAAAGACCTTTTGATCAGTCTATGCATGGCAAATGGGTTCCTCACTTTTAGGAACTTGAGAATATGTTCAAGATCATGGAATTACTGCTACATTGATGGAATGAGTGCAGAAACCTCAGACACTGAGTTATGAGAGTGTATTTATCTGGTTAGGAATATTCAAGCTAGGATCTAAGTTCTTGATACAACTGAAGAGCTTTATTGTGAAGTTTTTACCAGGAAGTTATACATGCATAGCAGTTTGATTTCTTAAGATGTTTATGTTCATGTGTTTCTTCACAGAGTTGATCTTGTTTTTCTCTTTAATCTATTATATTGCTGAGGACAGCAACGTTCAAATCTGGGAATTGTTTGATATGCCTTCAGCATATGGGTAAATTCAAGCCAAAAAGAGGAAGATTAATTGTTAATCCTGAGTAAAAAGGCAACGTTTATTGTTGTTTTGCAGAAATTCCAAATCCAGGATTGTTCAACTGATTTTATGCTGATTTTGTAGGAAAGCATACAAAATTGGAGTCAAATGGAGATTTGCCAAAATGAAAATCCACGCTAATAGTGTGGATGTCACGCTGATGGCGTGAAGAATCAGAGACCTCCACGCTCATAGCGTGGAACTCACGCTGATGGCGTGAAACCATTCTTGCTCCCACGCTAGTGGCGTCAGCATTCAGAGGCAGCCACGCTCTTAGCGTGAAATTGACACTAAGAGCGCCAGATTGCGAAAATCACAGCCCGTGCTTTTCAAAAGGGCAATTTTGGAAGATAAAAAAGAAGATTATAAAAAGGAGACTCAGCACAGAATTAGGTATTCTGAACCTAAGGAGACCGTCGTGCATCAGAAGGAGAGCTCCGGAGAGAAACTCTTGTTCTTCTTCTTCTTCTTCTTCTTTCTCTTTTACTTTATGTTTTTATGAATATTAGATTTTTAGCCATGATTATGTTTGGCTAGTTTACTTTTTATTGTAGTTAGGGTCACAAACCCTATGTGAACCCTTGTTACGACGAATTGGTTTATTTCTACTCGTTTATATAAAGTTCTTTATCTTTACCTTGTGCGAAATTTATATTCTCTTTATTAGAATTGATCAATCTGATAGTTGAGGATAGTTTGAGGGTTAGAACCCTAGATAGGAATATTGGGATTTTCATCCTGAAAGGGGGTAGGATAACGGTTCGTATGCATGCTAGGAATAGATGTGTATTGAATTGCAGATGTTTGAATTATCGTGTTCATTGCTTAATTCTTATGAGGGGTTGCTAAGGGATTAGGATTCCAATTGAGATTAAAGGGTTAAATTGCCAAGGGATTGGAATTTAACTAATTAATTGAATATTTTTAAATCAATCCAAAGTAATAAGTGGGGATCATAAGGTGAGTGCGCTCTAGCTATACAATGCTTTTCTCATTTTTACAAATCAAATCATTCCTGTTCTTATTTTTATTCTTCATCACAGAAAAATTACAAAAACAAGTCTTTATTTCAGTTCTCAATTTCACACAAATCGACATTATTTGTCACGAACAAACCCTTTTGAATTCTTCCATCTTCAAAGGAATATTAATTGATATTCGACCTAATCCCTGTGGAGACGATACTCTACTTACTTTCTATATTACTTGTGCGATCGGTATACTTGCCGGAGAGCATCAGGCATCAAGTCTAGTTCACAAACTCAACTCAAATGTAACAAATATAGAACTGACAAAATAAAAGCAGTACATCATATATAATCAATAAACATGAGCACTTGTTTCTGCAGTTTTTCTGCTACTCACTTGGTAAGCATCTTAACATTGGTTAATATATGACTTAGAACAGGCTATCAGGTCCTCACTAATCCTTTAAGTAGAGTGGTCTGATAATTCAAACTTCCTGTATCCATGCAAAGAATGATTGTTAGAGTTGAAACAAAGGAATCAGTAGCAGGTACTAAATATAAGATATAAATCATCATGGCATGTAACATTTATACATCTTGTCAAGCAAAGAACATTTTGCCCATTTCCATCTATCTTTTAAATATAATGATATACAGAGATCTTAACATATTTATATTGAAAATTTAGAAAAATGAAAAATCCAAGAAAGAAAACCATTGAAGTATGAAACTAATTCATTTTTACAACACTCTACAAACCTAGAATTTAATGGATAAAACGAAGGACCTGAGAGTAAATCAGAGAGATCAAAACAGACTTGGAACAAGAACTTTTATATACTTCACCATAATTATGATATCAGGGAAATATATTGTAATTTCAGCTGAAAAAATGGAAAAATCTCTCCTAAGACTCTTCTGTCAATACTCAGCATACACTCAAACACCCTTTCTCCCACTCTTCTTATGCTCCCTCTCTCTCAAAGCTGTTGTAGCAGCTTTTCCCTCCAAAGGGCAGACACACTTTCTTGCCCAGACTAGGATTCTATCTTCTATGCCCCTTCCTAGAGTACACCCTAATAATGGGTGGTTTCCTAACAGGACCCTCATAGTTCACATAGTGTCACCCAAAATAATGCAAGTCACCACTTCAGAAACTAGTCAATAAGCAATTGCTACCGTGTATAAAAGGCTTACCATAAATACTCCTAATTAAAACTTCACACAAGCTATGCTCGTTGTTCAATAAATGGATCAGCCAGTATATATTACAGCATGTGTACATCAAACCTTATTCATCAATTTCATTTTGGAAGGGAGTTGGAGAGCATGCAGATGGCATGCTGAACTGTAAAAGAATGACTTATTTCTTGTGACTAAAGAGCTCCTATTGGATCGAATTTTCCAACCTATGAAGTCATTAGTTATACCTTAAAATTAAAGTACATTACACTTTAAAATATTTCACAATTGAACTATCATTTCGATAACTATGCAATTTGGAAATGAGCTGTTAGATTGAGGATCCTGATGTCCTTGAGAACTTATTTAAATTTAAGGCAACTATAGCATTTGCTATCATGCTTACTCCACCATCTTTCGGCAACATGTTCAACATATTGCTATAATTCTTTTTCTAAGCTAACTACATTGTAATAAAAGAAAATCATCAAATGCCAAAAAGAAAACAAAAAATATAAAGATTTCCAAAATTTCTCACTACCTAATATCTATTGCTTCGTTTCTATCAATCCAGTGCTTCCCCCCATTCATCATCAATTTTCTTTTCTTTTTCGCTTTCAGTCTCTTGAGACCCATTCATCATCATGCTCCCACACTGCACGACATATAAACAACAGTAAGTTAACAAGTAATCATCAAAATATTACCTGTAGCAACATAAAAAAATAAAAATAAACATAAAGTAAAGTACAGGAAACCGCAGCATTGCTTTCTTTGTCAAGTAAAACCAAGCTCTCCGTGAAATCACTGGCACATAAACCTTTCCCAGTAATTTGGATCCCAATATCCTTCATCTCTAGGCTAATGAGATCAAAGGAACGCAGGGACATCATTCTTCTATATGAGGATATGAATGGGACCAGTAAAACCTCATCAAGTGTGCTTAATCCTAATAGCTCTGTAAACCCTCTCTCTAAATCAACACAGTAAATCTTACTCCATGACTCCTCTCTGCACATCCATATGTCACATCTAGTATTTCCATACGATCGAAACGAAGAGTACTCTATTACCGAGAGCCAACCATCAATCACAGAAATGGCCAAGTTGTTGGACGATACAGTACCCAACTCCTCTGGAAGCTTCATCTCATTGAACATCTCCTTCTCCACATTGAACATCATTATACAGTTACATCCATAAGGATCACCCTCTGTGACCTTGTAGGCAAGCCAATGCACATTCCCATGAAAAATCAACTGTTTCGTGCAATGAATCACCCTTAATTCGAGATACGAAGCATCGATGACTCTCCAAGCACCATCGTTGAGGGAATACAACTCAACCTTAGGAGGAACAGCTCTGCCATTCAAATCATAACAAACCCTCACCACCTTGAAATCGTTCCTCTTGGAATCAAACCCTAACCCTAAAGCAAACGTGTAGAATTCACCCAATGTTTCGGAAGTGAAAATTGGCGTTGGGAGTTGGAGGTGTTTACGTATCAAAGGGTTCCAGAGGATGATATTATCAATGTAGTTGGAGTTGTTGTTGTCGTAGAGGCAAACGACGCCGTTTAAGGAGCCAACGAAGCTGAGGAATTTATTGCTAGGAAGGGAGAATGAGTATTGAGGATTTGAGATTATGCGGAAGGAAGAAGAACAGAGAGAGTACTGCTCCTGGTTGGAGAGGGTTAAATCGCGAATAAGGAACAGAGGGTTGTTGGAGAGAGAGTGTTGAAGGTGTGAGGAAATGAAGGTGTGGCTCTTGATCATGGTGTTCCATGTTTTGCACACTGACATGCATTTTCCGATGCCTTTGAGTGGCACGCGATGCAAGATTTCGTGCAATATGGATTCGGGAAGACACTCAAAAGTCATTGTAAGTAACAAGCAAGCAGGAAAAGATGTCGTGATACTCTGAAGTCAGTCTTGATTTTGTTTTATTTTTTATAGATGACGAATTTGGGTGCATGTGAGTGGACCCTGGTTAATAAAAGTGATAGGTGACGCTGTGGACCCTGGTTAATAAAAGTGAAATTAATATATATCATCAAGCTTGTACATATTCTAATATATTTTACTTTTAAATTTAATCACGTGACAGTGTTATTAAAAGTGAACTTGAGTTATTGGTTATATCGGTTGAGACGAAAAAATATATTAAATATGTAAGATCCGGATCCACTCACGTGAAAATTCACATGATCATATCATGTGAGAAATTATAATCATACAAAGGTGGATCAATGATAATAAAGGAGGAGAGAAAAAAAATATTAAAATAAGTAGTTACGAAATCATAACCGTTGATTTATCTTTATATGGTTGTAATCTTTTCACATAACCCTATCATTGTTTTTCCACATGAGATGATCCATTTTCAAATATGTAAAAATTTATATTTTATGTTCGAGATTTTATAAAAATATTCAAATACTTAAATATACATGTTTACGTCCTATAATTCAAGGATGTAGATTGCTAGTACTTGTATAAAAATATAACATTTCATTATTTTATTTTAGTTTAAAAAAAATATGCAGACCCATCCGTTCAACTAGTTTAAACAAAAGGATTCATAATTTTCATTTAACGTGAGAATTAAAATCTTTCTACACATCTTTCGATTTTCGTGCTGATACGAGTCTTACATATAAATTTTTCTATCATATGAGTTCTATATTTTTTTTTATCTCTACTACATAAGATTTCAATTCTTATATCACTTGAGAATTATAAAACCTTTAAATAAAACCGGCTCGGTCATTGGTCTTAGCCAAAAATCAAACAGGTCGAACTGGTTCTCATCTATTTTGTCACATAGTTGATTCATTGATTCACTTGGACTGATTTAATCATCGGTTCATCGGTTTCCGAGTTTCCTAGTTAGTCCAATTGATTTGTTCCGAGTCACGTTTAATAAGATTACATGTGACCGATATTACAACGAAAGTTAATAATAAAAAATTGATAGAAAAAGAGTTTAGAATACTCTATCAATTTTATTGCGTTGAAAAAAAAAAGTTTAAAAAGAACTCCTAGTTGGATCAGCGAATTATACCTTCACCATATTCAACAAATCATTGCGTGATCTCAAATCCTTACCTTAAATAATATGTTGAGACACGTTAAGTATATTTATATCACCCCATTTTTAGATCTCACTTACCCGTAGAAAAGGTTAAAACCTACCATGTTTAATTCCCTATCCTTTTCTCTAACTCAGTTTTTTTTAAGCACATAAAATTAATCTTTCTTCTAGTCATCGTGTCAACTATTTATATAGGTTACCCCGTAAAGGTGTCAGTATTCTGAGTTCCAAAACAGATCTGGCTCTTGTGTACTAGGCTCTTTACCCACACCATTCACCAAAATGTGGGAACCCTTATTTTTTCACTACCTTCAGGTGTCTTGCAAATTTGACACTACCCAAGCCATAATGTGAACACTTAAGAATAAGTAATAACGACCCAACATGAACACAACCACATCATCTATGTCATAAAGATTCAACAAAGTTTTGCTTTGATTGTTAACTGTCTATCACAACTATTTTATCTGGGCTGAGACTATGTAAAGATTTGTAACAAAACCCAACAAAGGCACATAAAGAAATGAAATATAACTCTCTTTTATTGGGACTTGGGACTATGTAAAAATTTGTAACAAGTCACAAAACATACATGAAACCGGTGTTGTTAATATTGGGAAAGCAGGCAATCAACCGATCCGGTTCAGCTAATGGATTGGTTGTGCAAATGATTCAATATGGAATCAGTGAATCGATGTTAAATCGGGTTTAAGGGCTCTGGTTTAAATAGTTGTAATATCAACCATTAATCCAACATAGCTTGTGTGTTGTAATGTTTTTTTTTTTTTTTACTATTCTAGTATACTTATTACATGCTCTTATATAAATCAGTTCAAACGGCTCAAACAACGATCCATTAACCCATTATCTTTGATCGAATCGATTAATATTCTAAGTTTAATAACACTGTATGTTATTTAAGTCATGTTCTCTCCTGAGTATTGGTTTAGATGTGAGTATCTAAGTCACGGATCTACAACACGTAGTCCGGACAATATCCTGATACATTATTAATTACAACTAGAAACAACTAAACATAAAGTCAAGTCAATGTGGCATGGACAATTCTCATGCTCACCAAATAAGGCAACAAAGCCCCGCAGCAGTCTCAACAATAACATCATGAAGCTAAGAGCATAAAAGGCAACAGTCAATATCCAGCATCCAACATAAGCAGCATAACAACATATAATCAGCTAAGCTTCGGCCTCCTGCCGCTAGAGGTCTCAACCCCCGCATTACCTGAACCTGAAATATGTGCCCCAAACGTGGGGTGAGATCTCTAACAAGAAATATAAGTAAGACAAGAGATCCTCAAGGATCTTCCACCCCAAGTTCACTTACATGTGCAATATAAGTTCAAAAGCAGTTCAACAGTATAAGTTCCAAAATAGTGCAATGCAGCAGATAATCATGTCATGTGTGTTATAACAATTCTACTGATCAGAGAATTGTAAGAATACGTCTATTACCCACACAGTACCAGCCCATGTTGTACCCGCCCACAGTACCACCCCATGGCTTCCTGGCTAGGCGAAACACCACATACATATCATAAGCATTTTGCACTGAACAACTCCATAACATTTCAATAAAACAGTACATGAAACACATCATGCATATAAACCATCCCCCCATGGGACATGGTGGAACATACAATGGCTAAACCGAGGACACGAAAGCTTACCTTGCAAGCTAACTATTCAATGCCAAGAGTCCACACAAGCTCAAAGTCCAAATACAGCAGAATCACAATCTGTTTTAGACCAATCATCATATCAATAATCATACTTAACAATTATACGACATAAAGACAACGTCTTTCATTACGTTTCATGTCTTAAGGCTTCTCACAAAGCCACAAGCCCTTAATCACTTAGATTCTGACTTAACAAGTCATTACAGAAGTCCAACTTCATCAATCTAGGGTCCACAAACCCATCACTCAGTTCTGTATGAACAGTACCGTTATTGTTCACGCAAACCCAGAATATCCGGATATTTGCCGGGGCCATATCCGGATATCCTATATCCGGATATCATATCCGGATATCACAAGACCCCATATCCGGATATCACAAGACCCCATATCCGGATACCAATATCTGGATATCATATCCGGATATTTCGGACAGAATGCGGATTCTGCATTTCGCGAAGATATCCATTAAAGGTTGTGTTTTTAACACTTCTAAACGTCCAAGGACCCGTTTTTAAGCATCTAAAGGTTCATGTACGTGATGGTTACTTGTTTAACTCATTAAACATGGAAAGACTCTACTTTTACCCATTAAAACTCATGATCAAAGTGATGGTGCTTACCCAAAGGCTCAAAACATAAAGGAATGGTGCTCTTGGAGCTCACACAACAGCTCCAAGGTACTGACTTCAACAGTGAGCGAAAATGATGATTAAAGGTTGGTCCTTTGCACCAAAGATGGCTCCTTGGCACCACCAATGCCAAGTAAAAGGCTCAAACAAGTACCAAGTTCAGAGGCAGCAACTGCACCTCCCCCAAATGGCTCCCACAACCCAGCAAATAGTGACCCTCAACCTCACAATGCACTCTACAAGTGATTACTTGTTTAGAGATGAAGAAATCAAGAAAAGGTGACAACTTGATCTAAAAAAATGGTGAAGAGGAGCAATGAAACAGTGACAAACCGTTCAACCTTCAAGAGTGCCACGTATAAGTCTGATATGGCCTAGGGTTTTGGGCTAAACTTGCGTATATATAGTGTTTTAAGAATTAAACACACAGTATTAGCACTAATTGCTACGCTTAGCATTTTAATCCCAAACTTTGGAATCTGAACCTACTCAATTTTACAAAATTTATCATAATTTTTATTATATTTTTCGCAGCACCTTTCCGGTACGCGCTTTTCCATAGCCAGTATTAGTTCTGGCATCAGTTCTCATTATTTTAACTTGAAACTCGTTTTACCAGTCCTATATAATATTCTAGGAATATTCATGCACTTATTATAATTTTCCGGGATACTTCACCGGTACGCATTTATACCGAGTAGCAGAACCAGTATCTGCACTTTTCGTCAGAAAAACGACTTTCAGCATTATAAAACACTTACCATAATTATTTAAGCCTCAAAATAATTATTAAGGTCATTATGAAATTATTTTCTAATTTCACACAATTAATTAATTAACTTCCTTAATTAACGGTGCGAGTTCTTACAGTATGCGTTGCTGTATATGAAAATAATCAATTATAGAGTATATAACTATTTTTATTTGCTTAATAATTGATGTTTCTTGATTGTAGAGTTTTGTTTTTGGTAGATGAAAAGTCCATGAAATGTGACTTAAAACATATGGTTTTTAATATGAAAATGTAAAAAAAGAACACTCTTTGTGTTAATAGATACCCCAATTACATTGAGTGGAAATGTTGTTGATTTAAATGCTAATGGGCTTTATTTTTTTTTTTTCAGACCCACATATTAATATTTTTTCAAAGCAAAGAAGAAAGAAAAGAAAAAGAAAAAAATAAGAAGAAAAGAAGTGGGCTAGATTTTGTAAGGCAAGGCAGAATAGCCCAATTGAGCAACAAAAAGAAAAGAAATTGGAAGAAAGAAAGACAAAGTAGCGTGAGGCACAATTGGAAAAGCATTGTGTAACCATCGAACCCTAACCCTCATCTTGTGAACCAACCCATTTTCACCCAACCTCATTCCTCTCTGATCATTGAACCACAAAACCACTTCTTGAGCTGTGTTCAC